ATCCATATTTCTCTCTCCTTAATGTAAAGATTTATACTAGGCCCTTGAACAACCAAATTCCTTCAGCCATAGTTGGTTTTTCAAATTCTTGTGCCTCATAGCTTGATTTTAAGAGTTCACCGACACTAGTCCTTCCTTAGCTGTATCATCTAATGTCTCAATTGGCCCTTTTGCCTCCACATTTGTTAGGAAGATCTAGAAGAGGAGATCTACACGGAGATTCCTTTAGGATTTGATTCTCATGGTGGAAAGAACAGGATGTGTAGGCTCAAGAAGGCTTTGTATGGTCTCAAACCACCTCATCAAACATGGTTTGGCAGATTCACCTAGGTTGTGACATCCCTAGGATAATATAGATTCAAGGTGATCATACTCATTTTATAAAGCGCTCCCTTGATGGAAAACTCACTCTTATCCTAGTATATGTAAATGATATGATCATTGTAACCGATGATTAGATAGAAAAATAGGCTTTAAAGAAGAAGCTGTCAAAATCTTTTGAAATTAAGGAGTTAGAAAATCTAAATTACTACTTTGGAATAGAGGTTGGTTGCTATTCCAAAAAGGGTATCTTTGTCTCAAAGGAAATATATACTTGATCTTCTCAAAGAAATAAGGAAATTGAGATGTAAACATCTGAAGTACCAACTTAACACAACATTGGAACTGAAGAAAGTCCAACAATAGAAAAGCCTCAATACTATAGATTGGTCGGGAAGCTATTGATAGTATCTATTTGAAGGCAAGTTCTCGAAAAAAGATAGTTGTTCAATAGAAGAAGATACACTATCCATAAAGCACATACAAAGGCAAACTATGACAGATTAGTTGTAGATAAAGTGTCTGCCTTTGAATAGTGTGCATGTTTCTGTGAGGACAACTTGTAACATGGATGAAGCAAAATGGTAGTCAATAAGTTGTAGAAAGTAGATTTTACACCTAACTCAACATCACAAAACCAATTTATAAGATGAGGTTCGCACTCACTTATATATTGTAATTTGGTCATATTTTTAGTTAATGTGAGATCTCTAACACGTTCTTTCATGTTGAGGACTAAACATCTTAAGCATGGGACTAGATATTTATCAGTGGCTTGATAGTAGGTGGCATGACAAACTCAACAAACATCACTATGGTAAGTGTCTTTTATGCCATCGTAGGAAGTGGACTTTAAGCCTAATCCAATCTAACAAAATCAGCCTCTAATGTGAGATTTGAACCCACTTATATATTATAATTTGATTATATCTCTGGTCAATGTGAGTTCTTAAACACTAGGTCTTGTGCAAAAGCAGGATTTTGAGCTGAGACATCATATATGTGAAGGGTTATGGATAAAGATTATTCTTGATGACCTTAAAGTAAAATATGAGGGACTTTTGAGGCTGTTTTGTGAAAACAATTCAACTATTAGTATCACTTGTAATCCACTCTGGCATGACAGGACACAGCCCACAGTGATTGATAGACACTTCATCTAGACAGGGCACAACACCTGTTTTTGTATGGTGCTCCAATTGGTAGACATGTTTACCAAAGGGCTCCCTTCAAGAAGTTTAAAGGGACTTATTGACAAATCGAGGATGATTGATATCCTTTCCCAACTTGAGGGGGATGTCAAAAATATAATTGATATTTTGGAAAAATAAATTTTATCTTAATATTAAATAAACCAAAAGATAGTTATTTTATCTTATATTCCCATAGATGAAAGATAACAATTTTATTTATATATGTATGAATACACGTGTTCAAACCTTGAAATTGAATAAAACAGTTTTTTTTCTTTCAACTCTTTTAATGAGCAGAAAAACTATATAGTGTGGATCAATCTTTGACATTCACTAGGGCCATAAACCATTTGATGTCTTCCTTTAGATATACATTGTTTACATAAATATCTATTTTCAAATGTTGTAGATTTTCTCGTTGATACAGTTATGGAATTGCTGCTATTGCACCGTTCTCTCATCGTTTGACATTCAACAACTTGCCATCAGACATCCAACGTCTCCGATGTAAGGTCAACTTTGAAGCACTGGTCTTTGTACCACATATCAGGGAATTAGGAGAGGCCATTGTTCATCGTCTTCGTCACTCTTCTTTTGTCAACCAAGCAGAAGTAAAAGACATTCCACTAGAGGAAACTCATATGTTTGGGAAACAGCAAAAAAGGAAGTTTGTTGTGTTGCATCTGCGTTTTGACAAGGTAAAGTCTCATCTTGGCTTAGTGGTTTATTATGTGTGAGACGCTTGAACCACTTAGGGAAAAAAGAAATAATTTTATTGATGACAATCACACCGATTACATCCTCATATCCTGTTACTTGTATCAATCAATCTCCATAAAATAAGAAAACGCTGAATCAAAAGATTTTAAATATATTTTATCCTAATTATCCATGCAAACCTTGTATTACAACAATTGTCCCATTAGTTGAAGTCAGTTATATGACGCCATTCAACTTTGCCGAAGACCAAATTGAGAGATATTTACAATGAGGTCCTTTGTAAATTCTTCCAGTGTCCTGACCCTCTCATTCTTTCTTTGCATAAGAAGAATGGGAGATTCAGAAAGAATGACTTAGAACCAGTATGAAGTGGGGAAAATCAAAAGGATTTAGGATTAGGCGTGTGTTGAGAGAAAATTAGGTTTGATTAGTGAGTGTTTTAGGGTGACGTGGACCCAGTTGTTATTTTGTTTCGTTTCATTTTCCATCATTGTTTCTACAACTTTTAGAGTATTATCCTTGAGTTCTTCTAGCTAATCTCCGATCTCTATTGCTATTATCATTACATCTCTCAGTCCTTTAACACTTTGATTCCAAATTGCCTATGCAGGATATGGCTGCTCATTCAGCCTGTGACTTTGGTGGAGGTAAAGCTGAGAAACTTGCTCTAGCAAAGTACCGGCAGGTGCTTTGGCAGGGAAGGGTATTGAAAACTCAATATACTGATGAAGAATTGAGAAGTCAGGGGCGTTGCCCACTGACTCCTGAAGAAATTGGATTACTCCTGGCAGCTTTGGGTTTCAACAATAGAACACGGCTTTATCTTGCTTCCCACAAGGTTCATTAACAACATAAGATAGGAAGGCTTGTGATTATTTAACAGCATAGATTTCATTCTGATATCTGTAATGATGCCTAATGATTAGCAATCTGATACCTTCTGATACTTTTATAGATTGGCACTGTTCTTCGACTTAGGACTTGCTCTGGATTGATTGTATGCTTTCAGGTTTATGGTGGAGAAGCTAGGTTAGCAACTTTAAGCAAGTTATTTCCTCTTATGGAAGATAAGAAGAGCCTAGTTTCCACAGAGGAACTGGCCAAGGTTAACGGAAAGGCATCACTATTAGCCGCTGTTGATTACTACGTGAGCGTGCACAGTGACATCTTCATTTCTGCTTCTCCAGGCAATATGCACAATGCACTGGTACGAATCATTGCTAAATATTCTATTTGAAAATGTACTGTTATAATATAAATAGTTTGCTGCATAACAATATGTAGGTTTAAGAGAACCTAGCTATATTTGTTTTGCATTGGTGCAAAAAATGAATTAAATTCCAAAAACTAATCATTTAGATGGAACATCCTTTGCTTCTTTAGGTGGCACATCGTGCTTATATGAATCTGAAGACTATCAGACCAAGCATGGGATTATTGGGGAATCTATTTCAGAATAAAAGCGTAAGCTGGGCAGAATTTCAGCGAGCGGTTCTTGATGGACACAAGAACAGACAAGGACAGATAAGATTAAGGAAGGAGAAGCAATCGATTTATACGTATCCTGCTCCTGATTGCATGTGTAGAGCTTAATGTAAACAAGTTTTGCCAGTTATAAATTAATCTTTAGCTTAATTACATTTTTGGCATATTTAGTTTCTGCAAAACTCATTTATTTCTGTCCCAGGTTCTGATTGCAGAGATGTTGCAGTAGTTTTCGAACTCGTGCACATTTAAGATACTGACACGAAAGTACTTTTCACGACGTGACAGTGTTTACTTGTTTTTTAAAGTTCTCTCTAAAAATGTATTGCTTTTTCGAGAACTAAGTTAAATTAAACAGAATAAATTATTGTTACATAAATAATGCTCATTAACATCAAACTAATACGGTGCTTAATTGCATTATGAACCAAAATCCAAATACCCAGTTATCTCCAATTTAACTCTTCTGATTGAATATTTAAATAAGTTTTACAAAAGAACATTCCATCTTTATATTTTATCTATAGTATTTTTCATTAAAAAAATATTTTATTTTATTTTATTTTGAACAGCATAAACACTGATGCGGATGATCTAAGGAAAAAAAAAAAAAAAAAAAAGATTGATTGCTACGTATGAATGTTCAACACTCGGGACGGGGAAACCTTACACCAACAACGAAACAATACTTTTTATATGGTTCGAACTAGCAGCATCTCAGAGACCCTACTTTTGCGTCTACCACACACTTTTAACCGTTAACAACGCTGGCTCAGGGAGCTTTGCTCATGCCAGGAACCCCCTGGACTTTATCTCCAAAAGCAAACACACTAGACAGGTCAGGAAGCGACAACAAAAAAAAGAAAAAAAAGGGAATCAGAAGTCTCGACCATTTCTTTTTATCTCAGCGAAATCTACATGTCGATATTAGAGGTGAAATTTCGGTTTTAGTGTTCCTAGTTCTTTGGAAAGAATTTTGATGGTTAATTACAAATTAAATCCCAAAATAACTTTCTTTGTAATTCATAGAATCTGAATGGGGGTTACAAATATTATGTAATGTACTCTCATAAAAAGGTTGGAATATGCTTAAAATTTAGTGGTAGACATAAGATATGAACACAACTTGTGATGTACATGAGAATTCATTCCCACTAATCTACAAACGGATAATACAATGCACAATGCCCAGCTTAAAAAAGACAGCTAGATCATTTTTGTGTTATCATCAACAAAAAGTAGCACTTTATTTTAACATCAACGTCTACTCTTTTCATCCGCTTAATCCTTTTGTTTAGTAGTAGGCAATGAAGACATCTCACCATCCTTCTTATCCTCGCTAAGAGGAGGCTCCCTGCCATTCTTCTGATGGACTGCAACTTCTTCTGACTCTGCAGGGATATGAACCAATTCTTCATCAATTGCAAGAGTTCTCTTTGAGCCCAACAGAGCAGCATCAAGAATAATATTCTCTTCTAAAGAACTACTAACTGATGATGATGACGAGGACACAACAGGTTTCTCACCATCTAGCTTTGCTGGTGAAGTAGTTTCTCCAGAACCAAACCCATCAGAAGTTGACAAAATTTTGGATGTTGTTTCCTCTCCTGTGCTTCCTGCTCTTTCCTTTTTGGGCGTTTGGGATTTGGAGATCTTCTGGACCGAAGTCGATGTCACAACAAATTCGTCAGAGTCTACTTTGAAGTCAGATGGCAAGGTTTCATCCATCTTGCCATCTCTGTCCTCATTTGTAACAGTTAAATGACTTGAAGACTTAACTTTATAAGGTGGATCTATCAGTGGGAAAGGACGGTTTTTCTTTGATCTGGAACGAGAGGAAATGGTGTCATCAAATGGATCAATATCTAAATCAGTATCATTGCACATCTTCTGAACTGTGCGGATAGGTGTGGCTAGCCGAGCTCGATGATGACTGATAACTCTTAGAAGATCCAAGAGGATTGCCTCCTGTTTTATTAAATAGTAATTATAGTAATTATTAATCACAAAAGCTAAGGGAGCCACTTATCTGTGCCAATCAACCAGACTAATTTGAATATAAAATAAATAAGGCTTAATTATACTTTTAGTCTCCCAAATTTGAAAAGTTTATTTTAGTCCCCTAAATTAAAAAAAATTGATTTTAATCATAAATATTAAATTTGAATACTAAAATAACTTGTTTTGAAACTGTTTCTAGTCCATCAAAATTAGTATTTAGAGACTAAAACTATATTTTTATAAATTTTATAAACTAAAATGAATTTTTTTAATTTAGGAGATCAAATATTTTAAATATCAGGCACCAAAAAAAAATTAAATCATTAAATAATAATGATCTTCAATGAAGATTTGCTTGGAAGCAGCAAACTGATATATTGGATAGTTGAGTTAATATAGTTAGTTGTCAAAAGTTTAAAAATCCACAAAGTTGAGAACAAAATAAATTCTGACCATGCACATGAATTATAAAAATGGTTATAAGTTAGCATCTGCAATTAAAACAGTTAAAAAAATCCTTCCAAGTTTCAAAACATTAAAATAGGTGAGGACAGTTATACAATTGAGTTGAAAGAAATGCTTTACCAAACATGTATAAGCATCACTATGTATCATCAAAGTAAATAAAGCAATCTAGTCTCACCTTTACACGGAGGTACTCTTCAGAACGAGAAGTTTTAACAAAGCAGGATACTAATATCTGGAACATAAAAAGGCTCTATTAGACAATGATAGTTGAGAAATAAAATGAGAAAATTCACGAATTCTACATAAAACATTAAGAGGGGCAGAAAGTAGATTTCTACATATTCCAAAATGTTAAGAATCTGCTTCAATGGATAAGACGTAAAGGACAGGAAAGCTGTCATAGTATAAACAGAAACTTGACAAATCTCTTGGAATGTAGCAGATGATAAATAAAAAAGACCTTTTGTAAGCATTCTGGAACACATGATTGCAAAAAGATTTTACCAGAAAACTTTTAAAATCAGAGCTACTAGACACCTGAGTCAATGATACTTATCAAACAGATACCAGAATTACTTAACAATCCATTTGGAATTTCTATAACAGAAACAGAAATGTGATAATGTAATAACACGGAAAAAGAAGAACGAAAGCTACAATAAATTATATAATAACATCATGCACTGGAGTGTACTGAAAATATCTAAAGGTGCAAACATGAGTTGAAGATTATGTTTTAGAAAGCTAAGACTTATTTTGAAGTTGAACTCTTGAGGGATTAAACTGGAAGTAGTAGTTTTGGTTTATATTAATAACAGAAAGTTTTCTTCTACATTCCCAGGTAGGGTACCAGATCTCCTTGCCAGTTCATTTTTATCCCCATTACCCTAGTACTAAATTTCTAACCCTAGTGCTGTTGGGCAAAATTAGATAGTGTAAGGTTTGATGTTTTTTATCTATATCGTGAGGCCAGTTGTAAGTCACAAGGTAGTAAATTGGCAATGTTAAGAGTATTCTGCATATGTACTTGGGAGATAATTTTCAAATAGACAGAAGAATTTTTCTTCACACAATAGATAAATCATAATGATCATACATAAAGCCAAATGTTAGAAGTTAAAAGTTGACGATTTCTTTAAATATAACTTTTTAATTTATTTTGTTGTCTAAAACAACTTAAAAAATAAGAACAAACTTCTTGATTTCATGACAATATGGTGGTAAGAATTATAGTTCTTAAAAGATAAAGAATAAAAAGGTATTCCACAAAGAATTAAATTATGCCCAAGATTTTCATTCAATTAACCAATATAAGAGTCAAACAAAGGTAGATTCTAGAATTTGAACGTGCTCATTTTATTCTGAGAACCATGCTCCAAGCAGCACCTCAAAATGAACCTTAAAAAATGCCTTTCAACACAAAAATTGAAGAAAAGGGAAGTTAACAACGTATTGGAATTTATAAGCTCATAAATATTATAAAAACCAATGAACAAGAAAGTATCTCAACCATAAGAGCCTGATTTTCTGGATCAATATTCTCTAGAAAAACCCTTCTGTGCAATTTTCTCTGCTCTACTTGAGGATGTTTGGCCAAAACCTTGCGCATATCAGCTATTATACTCTGCGTAAAGAAATTAGGAAAGAGGTTGCTTAAGTTTTCAGATGATGAGATAGCCATCAAATACTAACTGAACAACTCTTCAAGTAAAGAATATTCACATTAATCTTGTTAACATCCAAGTGACTGATGGCAAGGTGAGTCTTGATACGCCAATGAGATTTCTTACTAAGATTCCTCACAACATTTATACTCAAATTGTGATTAGGAATATGAACTGCTTCACAATCAGAACCTCTAATTATTGTTGGTGACCACCAGCCTACATGCTAGAGAAAATATGAAATTTGGTTACAGCCAAATACTTTAAAGATACTTGAGAAAAAATATCACCTATAATGGAAATCACTTGCACTGAACTAACATATGTTTTCTGTTCTCCTAAAGTACCTGTTCAGCAGGTTAAATGATAGATACAAACCTCAACTTTACCAGTAACCTCATATCCTTTAATTTTTGTTTGAATCCGCTCATTCACAACAAACGGTCGCGTTGCATGAATCATTATACTTGAAAGGAAGTTTGTAAATATCTGAATACACCAAAAAAATGAAGTGAGAATGACAGCAAACAGAAGCCTACCTGAATGATAATGGCTGTGCCTTGAAGAGTTACTCTTACAGAATTGGAGAATTTAATGTAAAGATAAAATATCAAAAGACAACATGACTAAGTCATCCTCATAGACAGTATCAAAGAACCTATACTGTACCTCCCGACCTGCAAGGGAAATCAATACTGTGCCCAAACCACCAGCAGTCAACCACTTCTGAGTGGAGATACCCAGCAACTCCATGAACAATGACACAGCAGCGACCCAAATTGCAGTATATACAGCTTTCCCAGTAAAATCAATACTCATCTGTCATTGGCAACACATTGAATAAGATTTGTGTCTACATTTCAGGAATGCCCTCAGGAGTCAATAAACTAAATTAAGAATTATGAACTCCCTCACCAAAATATTCAACATGAAAATAAGGAATATTATACCATATTCAACCTACATATTCAAATTTTGTTAAAATAACATTCAGCAACTGAATTTTTATTTCCTGGACTTGGCTACTTCTTTAATTTTCATCTGGAATAACACAGCACATCTAAACCTTTATTTAAGTGGTATCACCCAAAAATTAATCCATTATTAAAGAAAAAAGTTATGTAAACAGAAATGGAAACATGATAAGGATTTTTAACGGGAACATACATTTCTTTCATCACTGGAGTCATTTGCCTCCGCACAAAACTTTTGTGCTTGTTGAATTAAGCTGAAAACAGGCAGCACAAGCATATTACATTATAGATTCAACAAGATAGAAGACTTCAAACCCATAATAGTAAGAAATGGGCAACTGCAACGGTTTATTTTCCAAAAGTAAATTAAGAGGACTCTATTTTATTTGCATATTACTTGAAAAAATCGACAATGAGTTTCAAATAAACATATAATAGAAATATTGAATAATTAACATAAAATAAATAGAATCATCTCAAACAGAAAACTCCTCATTTTTCTGCACCTTAGTTTCTTTTTCCCCCCATTTTTTATTAATAATTTGCATACACTACTCCACATCAGTGTGTATTTTCTTCTAGTTCTAACAATAAGAAAACAAAAGCTTTTCTTACAGTAAAAGTACAATACAGTACTTTAACAAATTAATGGGGGATATAATTCTTCCAGAAATCAAATACCTTGAAAAACAGTAAGCAAATGTAAGCACGGTTGACAAAGATCTTACAAAACTCAGCAGGCGTTGCTTCATAGCCTGACTAGTTTTTGATGGTAGGACTAGTGGATCTACATCCCTGAAACAGTTTATGCAAACGTGTTCACAACAGGACATGACAAACTTCCACTGGAAAATACGTTTTAGTCCAGAAAGATACCTGCAGATTAGCATCACGCCAGTCCACAATAGCAAAGGTTGAAAATAAGATGTCAAAATATAATGTAAACTACTTTTCTTCCAACTTCTATCAGTCCTCTGAAAACAACACGGAACAGAAAATCAGCAATTAATACTGTTTAATTAATTTTGACAAACGTGCAATAAGATGCTAACTTCTTGGAGAAACAGATTCCTGCTCAGGCGCACAAGTGGCTCGAGACCAAAAACAGCAAAGCCAATAATACCAAGGGCAGGGATGAATTGAATGACGCTTGATTTTCCTGCTATAGCATTATATGACCTGCATCAATTTAAAAAATAAATATCCCTCGACATCATATTCAGCAATAGATAGATGAAAAGGGAAAGATATGAACAGAACAAAATTTAGCATCTGATGACATGATTTAAAATAAAACTCTGTAAAAAACATACATCATAATACCATTTAATGGGCTTGTTTTGCAAGTTCATTTCTAATCATTTGAGAGTCTCAGTGGGTTTTGGTTGATTCCCTATTTCTACACACTGTTCGTCCTTCTCTACCACCATTACTCCCAAAAGAGGGAACCGGAGCTCATTAATTTTGAAGCTTAGCACAAATATTGACAAAATACGAAAAAAAAAATACCAAGAAGAAAAAATTAGAGGAAGCAACCATGATGCGTAGCATGACACTAGCAAGCTAATCACATACAGTGGCTTGGAGAGGAGTTAAATAGTCTCAACATTTCAAGGAAAAAAATGGGTTAAGAACATACGGAAGAATGTCCGTCTTGCCAGAATATACCTCTCAATCAAAATCACCATATAACTATACAATTAGTAATGTGTAAAGTAAAATAACTGCAGAATACATGCAGCATTAGTTGCATAACAGAGTTATCCATGCGGAGGAAGTCCTTTCAAACGTAAATAATGCTCACCCCATACAGACTAAAAGATTATTGCAATGTTAGGAAGGCCCCAATAAAGAAAACTAATGCATAATATATAAACCTTGAGATTCACATCAATGAATCAGTTGAAACTGCTCTGAAATACAAGGAGAAAAATAGAGACCTTGACAAAGAAACAACAGCCATTTTCACAAGTGGGGCCTCACACCCTCCAGCCGGCATTAGGGAACATCGCCACAATAAAGTATTACATTTTGAAGCTATAGGCCCAAGTGGTGCACGTACACTGGAAAAGAGCGTCGAAGAATCCTGCCTCTGTCAATTCACAAAGTTCTCTATAGATTTAGACAATCAATTAAAGAAAAACATACATCTAATACAGTAACTGCCATCAATGAAGCATGAAAAATTGCAAATGAAACTGCCAGCAACAAAATATTCAAAGATAAATAGCTAACTATCAAACATGTCTATCCTAGGATCGGATGGAACCAAGGTTTTAGAAAAAGAAAAACTTAAATACAGGTCCTAAGGAGCTATTTGTTTTATTCTTCAATTAGAACTGAAGTTTTACCTAGTAATCCATATAACTAAAGTTTTAGTTAAAGGATTGCGTGGATTACCAGAGTGAAACTCTGTTTTGATTAGAGAACAGTACAAACAATACCGACAGAATTGTATCCAAGTTTTGTCCTTTAAGAAATTACTAGCGTCCATGACTTTGGCTACAACATTAAGCTTTTTTAAGTGTCTACGAGCACAGTTGTGAAGCTCATTTACCCGCAATTACTGGCAATAAATTGCGACAACAATTTAAAACATTGGAGGAAACAAACAAGAACATGAAATGTTCATAGATGAAGGTCATACCAGACAAAAAACTAGAAAATTTATATGAGAAAATTTCAAACAGATTTATCTCATGCATAAATGAAAAAATTTAGGGAAATTTATTTCACTTTAGTGTTTCTGGATAAATTTGTTCAAATATACCCTAAAACTAAGAGGAAACCTAAAGAAGAAGAAAAAATTAAGTAACCACATACATGACAAAAACTACAGCTTCCATGATTACTGTACATCCTAACGTCGCGAGACAGTCTAATTGAAGTGAAGTGAAGTCCAAGGTCACGCGATGAGCACGACATCGTATTTTATACAAATCGAAACTACTTTAACCTCTGACTAATTAAACTGCATGAGAGACAAACCCTGTGATGTTAGCAGCGAAGAAATTACAAGGTCTTCATGCAATTAAATATATAATTTTCCCTATTGTTCTAGAAGGGAAAGAAACGATAATGCTAAGAGTTCTATCACTCAGAAAATTTTACTTCTATAAAACGAAAAAAACCAGACCAAATATTGCTAACGGATTCGGACAGATAGAACTGGTGTCTGATACTGATAATATTCCGAAGATGTGGGAGCAAAGAAAAGAAAATAATCTCCTTCTGGGCAATGGAACAATCGCGAATAAACGCAAATTTGTAGTCTTCCACGTCAAAAGGTAATCGATCACATACGAACCTTCCTCACACAGCGATAGTTTAGCGATAAACTTTTTTCTTTTTAAAGAAAAAAAAAACAGTGGCATTTGATCACGAGTTATTCCCTACTCGTTGTTTACTATTTAATAACATTATATAGAAAAGACTACTAGCATGTAGTGATTTTTTTATGTATATTTACTTATAATTCTTTGAAATCTTCATATTAAACATTTTAAATATGTTATTTAATTTTTATATACCATTTTAACTATTTGAAAAACAATTTAAATATCTCCTTTAATAATTATTACAAAAGTTACTAATTTTACTAATGTTAATTTATAATTGGTTGACAATATTAAAATTATATATTTTTAGTACATTTTAATTAATTGAATAGTATGTGCTAGTAGTTTTATTTTTATGAAACTAGGATATTCCTTACTACAGTGAGGGTGCAAGAGCATCTTTAATAAGGAATATCTTTTCAGATGCTTAGATGACTTCTTTATACACATAATTTATTTTATTCTTCTCAATGCACATATTGTTTCTAATTCAAAATCTTTGTTTGGATTCTTAAGAGGGTTTCATCTAAAAGCTCACTTTCTTATATTTTATTAATAATTTATTTATCAAGTTAGAATGATCTTATTTATGAAATAATTGGATTTTTAAAATTTTGGGATTTATCTGGACTGTAATTTTGGGATAATAATAATATTTAATATGTAACGACAAAAAACTAAGAAACATAAATGGTAAGAATTTAACGGTTATATACATGAGGAGTTTTCCGAGTTGCACAATCTTAATTGTTACAATTCAAAGCAACTGGTGATGAGTGGAAATAATATAATTTCAATTATTTTTTATAGAATTATAACATCGGCCTACCGTGTTAGATGTAAGGGTGTTTATTTATACATTTCGAAAAATTCATCAAAAAATGCATAGACAACAGTGCCACTAGAAAATTGTGGAATGGAGAAAATTGGACTAATATATAAACATCAATGCTTGTATAGGAACCGAGACAATGACAGCGAGTTACATATAAAACCCTGACGCTCCAATAAGAGTAATGCGTTCCTCTTATATTGAATGAGGGATATATAGATTTGGCTGACTAATCATTTGACAAAAAATACACTCCAATTCCCTTTTATTATTTCTAAAATGATCATAAGGTTGTTGGAAAGTCGTACAGTTGTGAGACCCAGTTTTCACACATGTCTAATATTCTGGTTTTGGTCGAGTGCAATATTGGATTCTTTCTGAGAGGGAGGAAGCTGGCTCCTATTGACAGGTCTATTCAACCCCAATCCAGAACAGGCTTTGGCTTATTTGTAGAAGAGTTTACATAAGCCAAGGAGCCTATTGAGTAACCATTTTCACCCCTAAGTTTCGGTTTGACTCATTTCAATCATTTTTCCCCTTTCACAAGTCTTCCTTAGATTTTACGGAAGTTTCACTCAAATTTTATTTGTAAAAGCACAAACATTTTACCTTTTATGGCTTATTACAGGAGTGGGGAACAAACCACAATCAGGAATATTTAGAGATTCTGAAAGTTATGTGAACCATGAATTGATAATTATGTACATACATGGGTAATACAATGCATAATTCCAACCTTTAAAAAGACAGCTGGATCATTTTTAGCTTCTATTGAAGGTATATACTGAAATATCAATTTCCAATCTGGCTTAATTTAGCTACTAATCTTGTCATTCTGTTTACCAGTTGGAAATGAAGACTGACCATCCTTCTTATCCTTGCTAGCAGGAGGTCCACCACCGTTCCGTTGGACAGCAAATTCTTGTGAATCCGCAGGAATAGGAGATGGAGTCATTTCTTCTTCGATTGGAAGAGTTCGTTTTGAGCCTTCTAAGGCAACCCCGAGAAGAATGTTCTCTTCCAAGGAAGGTCTAACTGATGACGAAGAGACAGAAGACTTTTCTTCATCTTGCTTTGACTGTGAAGAAGTAGCAGAAGTGGTCTCATGGGTAGTCACAGGAGAAGTTTCAGACACAGAACTTTGAGCCAGGTTTTTAGATGTAGGAACTGTAGTTCCCTTTCGTTCATCTACTGCATTTTCCTTTTTAGGCTGTGATTCAGAAAACAACTTGGGTTTATCCTTGGAGTTGTTTAAATCGGTCAAGGGGATAGATGTTGCTGCAAAATCCTCGTCTCCTTTGGTTTCAGATGCCATGGTTTCATCAATCTTGGAATCTTTTTCCTCATTTGCACGAGTTGTCCGGGTTGAGGGTTTAACTTTATCATCACCATTAACTTTATATGGTGGTTCTATAAGTAGGAATGGGCGATTTGCAGCTCTAGATCGACTGAAAATCGTGTCTCCAAAAGGTATATTTTCTGAGTCAGCCTCACTGTATATTTTCTGTACCGTGCGGATGGGAGTGGCTAGCCTGGCTCGATGATGACTGACAACTCTGAGAAGATCCAAAAGGATTGCCTCCTATGTACATGAAAAAATGTTACAAAAAGAAAATATTGTAAACATAAAGAAAGTTATCTTACAATAGAATTAATGGCTTGCTGACATTTAGCAAAAGTTTTCACCATAAGCTACTGTAATTACTGTTGGTATCATTTTACCTTAACACACAGGTACTCTTCAAAATGAGAAGTTTTCACGAAGCAAGATATTAATACCTGCAACAAAGAGGACCAATAGTAAGAGAATAGTATATTGAGAAAAACAGTAAAAATATAAACTTCTGAAGAAACATGTTTCTTCAGACACTGTAGAAAACTGAAGATTGGTGCCATATAAACAAAAAAATAAAACAGAAACCAACCATAAGAGCCTGATTTTCAGGGTTGACATTCTCCAAGAAGACCCTTCTATGCAATTTTTGCTGCTCTACTTGAGGATTTTTGGACAAAACTTTCCTCATATCAGCTACAATATTCTGCATGAAGAAAAGGGAACGACGATAACAACAGCTTTCACGTTAAAAAATAAACATCAGTCATAGAACATGTTTTTTAAGCATATGAACCAATAATGCTCACATTAATTTTGTTAACATCCAAGTGACTGATAGCAATGTAACTCTTGATACGCCAATGAGATTTCTGGGTCAGATTTCTCACAACATTCACAGTAAACTTGTGGTTAGGAATATGAACTGCCTCACGGTCATCGCCTCTAACAATGGTTGGTGACCACCATCCTACATGCTGGAATTGAAGTTGCACAAATAAGAAAATCTACCATGGTAATAATTCTTCTATTTGTCACATGATCGAGGAGATCAATAAAAATATATATTTACTGGACCATCGTGATACTGCTTATAATTGTAAAAGTTCATTCTAAGTAGGGTAGAGATACGAACCTCAACTGTCCCAGAAACCTCATATCCTTCAATTTTCGTTTGAATCCACTCGTTCACAATAAATGGCCGAGTTGCATGGATCATTATGCTTGACAGAAAGTTTGTAAATATCTGGATTAATCACAAACATTAACTTAGAATGGAAACAGCAAGCAAGAGTATTAAATAATTATTTTAAAATACGAAATACTGACTGAGTATGACTACTGAATATACACCTAGAAGACTTACTCGTGCAGAAATTTGATCAAGGTGATAGGATTATGGACTCACAACAAACAATGCACCAAAAAACAATGCTGGTAACCAGTACAAACCATAATAGTGGCTAGTACAAACGAAACAAAGTTGTACCTCACGACCTGCAAGAGTGAGCAATACTGTGCCCAAACCACCAGCAGTTAACCACTTCTGCGTGGAGAAACCTAACAGCTCCATGAACAACGACACAGCAGCAACCCAAACAGCAGTATAGACTGCCTTCCCAGCAAAATCAAAGCCCACCTGTCAGTCAAACCTTCCTAATGAGAAGCTGATAAAGATTAATAATATTGGGTTCCCACACAAAAAGATCCAAACAAGAAATGAAGAATTATTTGATACAAAGGCATTCAATCCATATAATGAAAATAAGTGAAAATAATATATAAACAATCAATTCTGTGTTTCTGACACATTGAGTACATTCTGAATTTTAATTTATATTTAAATTAAAAAAATATCGAAGGCTTTGTTCAAATGATCTAATAATGAAAATAAAACCATCATGTTATTGACGTAACAATTAAAAATGACAACAAACAATATGTAACAGAAACATACATTTCTTGCACCACTGGAGTCATTTGCCTCCAGAAAGAATTTTTGTGCTTGTTGAATTAAACTGAAAACAAGAAATACAACCATGTAACATTATAATTTAACCACTAGGCAAGACCCAATGCACTTAATAATTAAAAATAGAAAAAAAAAAAATAGCACACTATCTATTTATGTCTGGTGCAAGAATAAAAACCATAACAAATTATATCAATACCTTGATAAACAGTAAGCAAATGAAATCACTGTTGACAAAGATCTCACAAAATTCAGAAGCCGCTGCTTCACAACCTGGCTGGACTTAGATGGTAGGACTATTGGATCCAATGCCCTGTAACAAACAATTCTAAAATCAACACATATACAGATTCTCGGGAAATATACTCATCATCTGATAGGACAGGTATGTGTGTGTTTGTCAACTGTAGGACAGTTACATGATGCGTTGCATAGCAGTTAAGTGTGTTTTTCTTAAAGAGGATGTGCAACAGTTTCCTGATTATTGTGTGATAAATTGCTGAAGTTTGTTTGATGGAGGAGAATCCTTGTTAGGATTTAGGCCTATGTTAGGGTTCTGTACTGCAAACTCTGGTTCAATCCCAGAACTCTTTAAATTAAATCTTCTACTTTGTGTGTTCAAACTCTTGAGAAGCTTGGCCGAGAAACAAACCTGCAGACGAGCATTGCCCCAGTCCATAACAACAATGGCTGAAAATAAGATGTCATAATATATCTCGAACTACTTTTCTTCCAACTGCTGTCAGTTCTCTGAAAATATTTTTGTAATAATCAGAAAAGGAATTAATTATATTAAGAAATTAGATCTGGGATAAATGAATAAATAAAAATCAAAGGTAACTACTTGGAGGAACAACACCCTGCTGAGTCGTAGGAGTGGCTCCAGACCGCAAACAGCAAAGGCAATGATGCCAAGAGCTGGGATCAATTGAAGTAAAACAGGGTTTCCTTGTAAAGCAGCATATGACCTGAATAAATGTCTAAAAAATAAAGTTTCCATAGAATTATGCATTAAATAACAGATTAAGAGAGAGAAGCAACAAGAATAGCACAAAATTAGCACCAATTAATCCCAGTCCTTCCGATATGCAAATTAAAAATATCATAACATCATCGTGCAGATTTCTTTACAAGTTCATAGACTATTTAATTTAAGTCTTGGTACGTCCAGACAATGTCAATTTATATGTCAAACCCCTAAAAGATAAAATAGAAACAGATCACTTGACAGGTCGAAGTTACTCCAGAACATATGTCAACAAGTTAATAGAGACATAAACAGACAGGCAGGAGGGCACTGTAACCACAATGCGGCTGTGTTAGGCACTAGAAGACTGAAAATAAACAGGGGTTTAAAGTGGAGTCAAAGAAATTAGCAAGATATAAAAAAACATTTAATGATTTACCACAATACGAAATATAATTATGCAGAGTTCTAGAAGCACACTAACATATTCTTCTGGACACACACACACTCCCTGAGAGTCTCATTAGTTGAAATTCATTAGAATCTATGAAATCATCAGAGAGGTTCAATAAATGAGATTTGGGACAAAATTTTAACCAATAGGAAACAGTGTGTTGTTAGAATTACTCTATAATTATATACGTCTGAATCAGACCTACAAGCTGGTTCATTAACATAAAATTTATTACAAAAAATATTTAAAGGCATTTTTATGTACATGTAAACATTATTAGAAAGGCTAGCAAAACATCAAGGTAAACAAGTTAACATACATAAATTTTACAACAAAAAGAAAAGGTAAAAAGGTGAGAAACCATATATAGGTATGAGCATACATATCCTGAATTGAGGAAACCTTTTCTAAATTAACAAGCATGAAAGAGAAGCCAACCTTGTCAAAATAACACCAGCAGATTTCATGAGAGGAGTCCCACTCCCTCCACCTGGTATTAGGACAGACCGACATATGAAAACACTACATTTGGAAGGCACATGCCTTATTGGGGCACGTAGTCTACTTAAAAGATGGAGTGCTGAGGAGTCTTGCTTCTGTAATTTCCGAAAGAAATATCTTCAGAGGATTAGATTACATAAACACAATCAATATTAGCACATATAAAAGCAAAATACCAATTGTATGCAAAGAGTAGGGGTGCTCAATACCCAATTACACAGTCTCAAAGCTTATTGGCACGCATTTGGTTCTAAAATTTAAACCTGCTATATTTTTGTCACTCTTTACAAGTGTTTTAGTAAACACTTCTAAATTTCATTGGACAGAATTCCCAAAAGAATATTCAGTGAAGTTAATTTCTGGAATGTGGGAACTTATGAGCAACATAAGCTAGGGGTGTCTAATCAGGCTGCCCAGCATGCCAAGGTGTAAAATGTGCTGGCCTGGTCAGGCCTGAATTTATAATAGGCTATGATTTTTTACACCTAGCTCAACGATGACAGGTTAACAGGCCATTTTGGCCTACTTTTAAAAATAAATAAACAATTCAAATCCAACAAATAAATGTGTATTTTTAAAATTGAAGTCTCATTAATGAAACAGTATATAATTATTATATTCAAAAACAAGTCAACCCACTAATCTGCAAGTAAGCTTAAGCCCATATGGACAGTCTCAGGTTAAACGAGCCAAGACAAAAATGACCGAGTTCAATTTAGACCACATCTTTTTGAGCTAGTCCAGCCCGTCGGATCCGTTTTGTAGGGCTTTTAAGGTGGACCATCGAATTAAACCTACTTTGACATCTTTAACATAAACACACTACTAAGTTAGCCAAGCTTACTACCAAATTCCTAAACTTACCATCTTATGCATAATAAAATAAGTAGATAACATTCTCCTTGATATGATAGTTTATTTGACAATACATGATACAAAAATACCATTGTTCCACATAGAAAACTTTGTGCATTAGCTATGCATGATATCAAAAGGATCACATTATGCCTAAATTTTGAGTCAGGACAGACTGTCATTATTTAGTCTAACAATTTGTTCAAAGTAACCCAGCTGGCTCAGGTCCACTGAGCACCCCAAGAACAGAGGAATTATAGCAGGAAATGATTAAATCATCCATCAAACATAGAGGAAAGAGGGAAGAAGAGGGAGAAGATACTATGCATACAAATTTTACTTCCCAAAAACCATACCAAGCTACACGGTGAAAGATTTATGGTGACCAAATGTAATCGACCAACCCCCATCCGCTTCTGTCAAATGATGAAATTAAAACTCAGCATTTTAATTGGAAGAGGAAACAGAAGAGAATTATCTAAATATCCGCGTACATGACGATGGAAACTACACAATCCAATATTACTGCTGAGCCTAACGTCATGAGACAATTGCGTTGAACCTGGACAGACCATGTTGAAATTGCCGTAAAAGTTAATGCAATCAGTTCACAGTTGAAAACCAGTTCTCCCTTTCAACCCAATACCTCAGTTTCTAGACAATGGAAAATAAAACCTGCAAGAAAACAAACAATAACATTGGCAAGAAAAAAAGAAACTCAACAATTCACTGCAATCTTTATCTTTTGACAAATTGCCAGCAACTGAACTAAGTTCAGTCCTGTTCATTTAAATTGAGATAAATTTGACTTCGTAATTAAAAAAATAAAATAAAAATAAAGGAAACAAAACCCTAGATATTCGCGTCAAAATTATAAGAAATTTATCCGAATGAGTTTTTAACAACGATAACAGCACTTAATTGAGCATGCCTCACGAGCCTTCAAAAATGGAAAACAATACACAGTTGAGATAAAATTGAGATCTATGAACCTGAATGATGCTACAGTAAACAATCCAGGGTTCGTGGAAGAAAAGAGAATTTCCCGAAAGAAGAAACGGAAGCGGTTCCGGAAAAAATCGAAACGAACATTACGATATTATCCTCACGAACGAACGAAGGAAAAGGAAAATTGTGAGGGGCTGTTGTTATCGGTGAAAGTGTAAAGTATTTGCCGTGGAAAAGCCAAACTTGGTTGGCTTGGGTACGATGCTGCAATTAACAGGTTTCTGGTCCGTGGTCCAATTAAAACGCAGAGTTTGGGATTAGTGAATGCTGGTAACCCGCGAATTATAGATTATCGGGGATTTATGTGGCGCCTGGATCGTGACCCTTATATCCAGATAGTACTATCTTCCACGGAATGTGCGTCTCTTATTCTATTATTATTATTTTATTTTTCTTTATTACAATATTATTTTAGAAATGCAATTCATTTCTATAAATTATCCAAGTAATCAACTGTATTTTTTTTTATTCACCAACAATAAAATTGTATACTTTTTTTATATAAATTAAACTGAAACAATTGTCTCACTTGAATTCAAATACGAGTTAGTGGATAAAAATGAAAAAAATAAATAATTTATAAATAAAAAAGATTCATATTTTTTTTTAATTGAAGATGGTGTTTAGCTCATTTCTCATATTTTGGTGAGAATCTCAATATTCACATATTTGGTAGTACTTCTTATTTGTTTCTTTCTTGTTCGAACAGATATTTTTTTTTTCAAATACTTGGGGTTATTTTGTCATAGATTATTTTCTTTATCATTCAATGAGTACATTGGATTACTGAATTACTGATAAGACGTATTTGCTAAGTTTATAGGCCATTGTCACTTTTTAAGAAACCTATCATGAATATTAGTTACGTAAAAAACTTGATTTAACAAATATATTTAAATCTATGAAATTATCCATGATAATGAAGAAAGGCCTTATTTTATACAAATAAGGGTTTATTATGATGTTGTACTGATCGGAAGATGAGGGTGCCAAATCATCTTGATATTGGACTATCATTCAGTTATCGGGCGGTTCTAACCCCGAATTTCCTGTTTTGAGTTCCCCCCCCCCTCTCTTGGTATCAGAGCAAGGACTTTCCTTGGTTACCTGAATATTGTGTTCTCAAGGATACCCAGCCAGTACCTGAGTATTTTTGCAATTGAACTGGTTTGTATTCGCTAGGATACCCAGCCAGTAGTAGGGCAGGTTAAGGCTAGGGAGTGCCACGAGACCCTAAGTCCCGCGTAGCTACCTTTGTGGGTTGAGGAATACGTGCAGATTGCGACAGTCTTTGCAAAAATATTTAGTACCTTTGTGGGTTGAGGAATACTTTGCATATTGCGGCAGTCTTTGCAAAGAAAAATATTTTCGTTTTTTTTACAAATTCTCTTTCTTGTCTGTTTGTGTGTTTTTCTTTTTATCACTTTATTATAAAAAAAAACATAAAAACCAAAAATTGTATAAAATCAACAAAAAGATTTTCATTTAAGCCTTATGATTATCTATATTCTTTTATAAATATTGCTTTACAGTGTATTCCTTGGATTCCCTTATCCCTCTCCACTTATCTGCTGCATTACTTTCTTGCTCTCTGATTTTTCGCCTTTTTTTTTAATTTTTGTTTTAAAATTTTTTATGGAAGGTTCAAGGCCTTTCACCACACAGCCTTTGGTAGGCACTACACAGCCTGTTTCAGGCAAAAACTACAAAACAGCTTTGATAGTTGTTGAACAAAATATCGTAGATAAAGATTACAAGACAACTCTGATAGCTGTTGAACAAATTATCAATTTCCCTTTAGTGGGATACAAAAAGTCTATACTAGACAGTATAGATACATTTCTAGAAGAGATTTCTAGAAAACTAAAAAGTTTGATAAGACTATGTGGCAGCATAGAGTATATGAGATACTTTAAGTCACGTAGAAAAAACCCTTGGGGTTATTTAGCTAACCGAGTTGCAGATAGGGACTACCAACAAGCTTTAGATACCTTGGTAGTAGAACACAGAGAACTACATGATTGGTTCTCAAAAACTTTATCAAACCTAGACCTAGAACAAAATAGGTCAGAGGATAATAGGTATAGTATTTTTACTATCCCTAAAAACGAAAACAGTCCTATGATAGGATGTACAAAGGATACAATAGATAATGTATCTTTTGATGACATTATAAATGGATTTTTAGATGAATTTTATCCAGATGAAGATGATATATTGGATAATTTATCTGAAACCGCAGAACCCTTAGAAACCCTAGGGTCTGAAAACATGAGTGTAGAATCAGAAGATTCTCAATCTCATAATTACCATTTAGAATCTGATGACGATTCTATAAAATCACTATAAAATATTGGTTCTGATAGCAATCAAAACCTTACACTAGACAATATGCCTTGTACAGAGCTGAGTCTACAAAACCCTAACAATCTTCTAAACTTAGGAGAAACATTAGACTATTTGGGTAATGGTTTAATGAAAACAACAGATACGGAAAATGATACATCTAAAGTCTCAGAACCCTTACCCATATTAGGGTTAGAAGACACAAATGATAAAGATACACTAGATAATGTATCTTTAATCGAAGAACCTTTGTCTAAGTTAGACAACACAAATAATGATACATTAGATAATGTATCCATAATTTCAGAACCCTTATCAACATTAGGGTTAGTAAATACAAATGAGGGATCAAATAGTTATCAACCTCACAGCTATCAGCTACTACCTGATGGTATACACAGTTACTCTGTTGGTTTTCCACCTAGAGTATCACCACAGAATGTTGTCTTTAGTGACAATCAATACACAACATTAGGCAAAAGGCTTCCGATAGAGCCTAACTTCTAGATGCCTAATCTTCTTCTAAACATAGGAGGAATAAATCCTCAACTATTGCCAACTTACATTGAGCAATGGACTGCAGCTGTAATCCGCGATTATGGCATACATCATGAGAAAGATGTTCACTCTTCTCAAGAAATGATTGCTAAAGCTGAAACCTATTTAGGTGATATAGCTAGAGCTTGCTGGGAATCTTTTAAGAAAAATTACCCAGTCGACTTAAATATGTTTGTGATCGAACCAGGTCCTAACATATACAATTTTTGTTCTTTGTTACAAAAATTGCTTACTTCCCAGTCTGCTAATGATGGGAACACACTCAGACAACAGATTTATCTGGGTCATTTAGAAAGACTTTCCATAACATACTTTGGAAAGATCAAAGAATTTTTACAAGATTATCTCATGTACGCATCCATAGCTGGATGTTTCCATGATTTAAGCATTGGAGAAAAGATGTTTCTCAAACTACCGGGAAAACTTGGCCAAAAGATCCGAGAATCCTGGAAAAATGAAGAGGTTACTCCCATGTTGAACAACCTCTCTATACGTATACAACACATCATGAAAGTGATGGAAGATACGTGTACACATATTGCTATACAAAAGCAATTGAAAAATTCCGATGCTGGAATTTGCAAACAAATTTATACTCCTCAGCAGTATAATCAAAACAAGCCTTACAAAAGGCCTATACCTAGAAGTAAACCTAGGTATAATAAAAACTACAATCAGAATTCTTATTCTGAAAGACAAAAACCTACAACTTCTAGAAAGACTTACACGATTAGGTCTTCAAATTCTAGAAAACCAACTCTAAATCCTGATAGACACGTCAGAAAATTTAGAGAAAACAAAACATACAAGCAAACTTTGAAATGTTTCGCTTGTAATCAACCAGGACATTTCTCTAGAGACTGTCCTAACATTACAAACCTTTACACTAAAGAGGCAGAATTGATAAAATCCTGCCACATGAACCTTCTTCCAATAGATGAAGATGTTTCTACTGACTCTGAAATACAATCAGTGATTAGTATTACAGAGTATAATGATGAAATCAATTTAGACAAAAGCCATAAAGATTATGGTCTAATAAATGATTTCACAAATAATGAATTCATTCACCTTTATCCAAATGAAAATGATTTCCAACTGGATAATAAATATAATGAATTAGGAAATATATTAGATGATTTTGGATATTGTCTAATGAATACTACAGTCTCCTCTTTTAAGGATACTAACAAAAGGGTATTGCAGAGTTCCTTCAGTTATACAGGTACTACTATGGCAAACCCAATCGACAAAGGCAAGTTACCAGCCTCAACAACTGAAGAGTTTGATACTCTAAAGTTTGGAACACAGCATCTTCCGGTTTTACCAGAAGGTCACCCTCAACAATTCAAATGTCTGAGGAACTGTCCCGTTTCAAGGGAACAAAAGGTATTACTTGATGCTCTTCATCGAGCTTGTAGTACAACAACAAAGTTTAATGCTATTAATGCATTAAATTATTACTTTGCAAAAATGTTGCCCGCTGTTTTTAAAAAACCCAAGAAAGAGGCCTACTGCCTTTTTACTGGAGACAAGCGTGGCGTCTACCTATCATATCCCTCTCGTTGAAGGCGATAGGTAATGCCAAACACAACAAACTTCAAGGATTTGATAACCTTGAAGAAGCAGTACAAGCGATGGTCAGCTATGTTGGAGGAGACAA